CTACCTGCTCAGGTACTCTGTTCACTACCTGCTCAGGTACTCTGTTCACTACCTGCTCAGGTACTCTGCTGTAGAAGGTGTATCTCCTACCTCCTTCTTTTCTCCTCTAATTTCTTCTTCTTTCAGACCTCCTCTCCTCTTTCTTCACCTTGTTCACTTCCTCCACCAGTTCGATTCCTTGAACATATTAGTATAATATCACAATAATATAATTCTTCCTTAAAACCAGAAGATAATATTTCACCTGTAGTTTCCTGGTCGGTCCTCTAGGTGGCGTTGTACCGCTCCTTCCCGACCCGCCTCCTCTCTCGGGCCTGGGGCCGTCTGAACGGGGTGGAGCTCCCCACGTGGCTCAGGAAGCCGGTCTACTCCCTCTACATCTGGACCTTTGGAGTCAACATGCAGGTGAGGAAACAGACAGGAGAGGAGATGGACGGACAGATCATTTATCTTGATAAAGTTGGTTAAAGATATTTTTGATCATGTCTGTATTTTTTCACGTCTCTCTCTCGTCCAATAGGAAGCAGCTGTAGAGGATTTACATCACTACAGAAATCTGGGAGAATTCTTCAGAAGACGTCTAAAACCTGCAGTCAGACCTCTCTGTACCAGCTCCTGTCTGGTAAAACTACTCCTCTTCCTCCTCTTCCTCCTTCTGTTTTACCTTCATGTTTCTCATTTATTTCTATGATTATTATATTTAGTGACTTTTTTTGGGACTCAAAATCACAAAGTATTAAGTTTGATCTGCTTCTGTCACAGCTTTAGTTTTCTCTCCTTTTCTTAAATGTATTTTATTTATTCTTGTGGGTAAAACTTTGAATATTTCATCTCCTTTGTTTCTTCTCTCATAATATGTTGTTCTCGTTCCTCGACGTGTTTCTGATCGTCTCTCTTTCCTCAGATCTCTCCGGCTGACGGGAGGATCCTCCACTTTGGTCAGGTGAAGAACTCCGAAGTGGAGCAGGTGAAGGGGGTCACCTACAGTCTGGAGAGCTTCCTGGGTCCTCAGAAGAGGCGGAGCAACGGTGAAATAAACTTGATATCAAAATACATAACCTAGTTATGTATTTTGAACACAGTTAAATAAAGGGTGCTTAGTGACCTGTTCAAGTAGTTAGACTTGGTCCTGATCTGAGACCAGTTGGTCTTGCGATGGGACTTGTTTTAAATGTGGGAGTTGTTGGTCTTGTCAGGTCTGGAGGACTTGTTGGGTCCACATCCTGTTAAAGGTTCCTGTCTCTCTTTAGACCCCTCCTCCTCCTTCAGAGACCTCCTCCTGTCCTCCCCTGATAACGACCTGTTCCACGTCGTGGTCTACCTGGCTCCAGGTGACTATCACTGTTTCCATTCACCTACAGACTGGAAGGTGGAGCTACGACGTCACTTTCCAGGTGAGACAATGTTCCCCTCACTCTCTCTGTCTGTCTCTCTGCCTCTCTGTCTGCCTCTCTGTCTGTCTGTCTCTCTGTCTGTCTCTCTGTCTGTCTGTCTGTCTGCCTCTCTGCCTCTCTGTCTCTCTGTCTGTCTCTCTGTCTGCCTCTCTGTCTCTCTGCCTCTCTGTCTGTCTCTCTGCCTCTCTGTCTGTCTCTCTGCCTCTCTGTCTGCCTCTCTGTCTGTCTGTCTGTCTGCCTCTCTGTCTGCCTCTCTGTCTGCCTCTCTGTCTGCCTCTCTGTCTGCCTCTCTGTCTGCCTCTCTGTCTGTCTGCCTCTCTGTCTGTCTGCCTCTCT